GTTCAGCTTCACCGCGCCGCCCCCCCGCCCGCCGCTCCTGGGGGACCGTGCCGCGTGTTGCCGCCGGGGTGGGCGAGCCGGTACGGGTCGAGCTCTCTCTTGGGTGCGAGGTGAAGCTTTGCCGTGGAAATGATCTAAGGACGTGCAGATCAGTGCTGGCAGCACAGCGTGTGAGTGTCTTTGGAAACCTGTCTGCTGCCCAGTTACTGTTAGAGGCGTAACCCCTGACTGTCGCGCCTGTAATAAATGGTTACAGTCCTTTACGGTAAGCTGGCAGATACCAGCCGTTTTTTCAGGTGTTTGTGCATTGTGTCACGTAAGGGGAGAGCAGGGTGTGCGTCGAACAGGCCTATTCCACTCTGCTTTATCAATGTACCTGTCGAAAAAAGCAGAGAAACTGGGAATTTCACAGCCAGAATGGGGAGTGGAAGACCGGGGAGTCCAAACAAGGCATCGGAATCATGGCTTTGACTGCAGGGGCACCTTTCAACCGAGGAGCGGTGGCCTGCAGGCGAGAACTGTTTTATCTATGTTGGGCAGAGTTGTTGCAAGTAAATTATGAAAGAAATGTTCAATCTGGTTTACAGGTTTCACTTAAGACCAGAACAGCTCATTAAAACTGGAGTTTGCTGTCTAATAGCTCAGGTCAAAAGAGAACATGCATTTAATTTTTAAGAATACTGAGATCTGTATACTGTGTTGCATGTTATGCCCTTCGCACGCCCATGCGTTAGATAAATGCAGCAGTACTCTCCTGAGCTTTATCTACAAAGCAAGATCCATTTACCTAAAATGCGGTTTGCATTTGGTTGCAGAAATACCAATTACGTTCCCAGGTTCCTTGGATTCTGCAGCTGCATCCTGTAGATTCACTGGGACTTCCTGCAGTTTAGATTCATGCCCAGGTGGAGTGACTGAAATCAGTTGCCCCTGGGGATGAACCACACTGTACGGGACTTTGGAAAACTGCTTGGGTTTCCCTGTCACAAACTAGGAACAGTGAAAATGTTAATCTGCCTGCTGACTTGTCCCTTGGTTGTTTACATCTTGAGTATCTGTCCTGGTTTGAATTTGTCCAGCTGCCATACACCACTCAACTGCTTGTTATTATCCCACCTGCCTGGGGGCTGGGGAAAAGCATTGGAAGTCTAGAGGGAGACTCATAGATTGAGATAAAAATCAGTTTAAGTAATTGTAATAAAATAAAACAATAACAGTAATACAAAGTACAAACCGGTAGTGCACAAATGTCATTGCTCACCACCTGCTGACTGATACCCAGCCCATTCCTGGCATCGATCTCACAATCCTAATCCTGGAATCAAGAGAGAACCTTCCTTCCTGGCCACCCCTCCTTTATATACTAAGCATGACATTGCGTGATATGGAATATTTCACTGTGTGCTTCCTCACAGCTTCTTATCCACCTGCACACAGGCAGGATATGGGGAGTTTGGAGGGACCTTGGATTCTTGGCAACAACCATAACCATTGGTATATGATCAGCATTCTCATACCAAATCCCATACTGAATCCAAAACATAGCACTATTCTAGCTACTAAGAAGAAAACTTAACTCTGTCCCAGACAAAACCAGGACAGTATACAGTTTGTTAGACTTGGTGGCTGATTGCTAACCAGTAAACCTTGCAGGGAAACTCCTCTATTTTTCACATTTTAGCAGTAAGGTGGGTTGATATGTTAAATACTGTCTTTAGAGATCTGACTTCACCTCTTTTAAAGGCATGCTTTTATTGCTAATAGAATATGCTACTTTTACACTGCATTAAGAAATTTTAAGGTAAATACACAATACCAGTAAATCACTTGTAAAACAAACCTGCCATAATCCAGCCTTGTCTAGCAAAATATTTACCTTGGCATAAGACTACGGAACAGTGCTGTAGTGGTGTTGATGTGGCAAGCTGTCTAGAAGCAAAAAGCTCATTCTTATGCATGTGCACACAGCAAACCCTTAGATGAAACAATCAGAATATACTTCTGATTTAAGTTTTGGAAACACAGACATAGTTTTCTTGGTGATTTGCACTCAGGTTGGCCACAGTCTCTATGTCCATACCTTTCAGAGACTTTATCATTTAAGCAAAAACATTAGGTTTTTAATGATGAAGGGGATTCTCATAGATACTGCTGTGTATAACCGCTGGTTATATCTGTAATGATGACCTAACACTGTGGCCTTTGTTATTAAATTGATGCAAGCAGACATGCTGGTTTACAGTGGAAGGATGAAAGTAGAAGGGGAATTTTGAAGTATGTTTAATGACACTTTCCTTTGAAATGATGCAGTGATTTTTTTCTTACATCTTAGTAGGATGTTAGTATGCCAGTAGTAGTATAATACATATCTTAAGGCTGAGTGTGTAATGGGGAGATGCCCAGTCATGTTCATCTTCTGTTGTAGGACACAATTTTCCTTAGAAAAGCCAGACAACTGAACAGTGGTTGTCTGAATAGCAAAACACCTCATGTTTTCTACATCTGGGTGCTTAACGTGTCTGTGTTGATAGCTGGGCCCTTGTTGAAGGAAACTCTGAGTCTGCATTTAAGTATCCTGGAAGAGGAGGTCCCTGGTCAGGATTACTGTAGTAAATGATGATGTGGAGACAGTGATAGCAGTTTGGGTGCTTCTTGCACATGGAGAGCCAGATTTCCAAGGAGATGTGTGTACTTCATTTTGTGTCTGACTTTCTGGTGTGTGTGATAATTTTGGTGATCATGATTCTTTTATGGTTCAGACTACTGGTAGTCATAGCAGTTGGTGTTCCAGCTGCAAACAAGAACAAATTAGATGATAAAGTTCTGTATTTAGATATCATCTATTATAATGACTTCTCAGCTATAACAAAAGGGAAGAATAGTCATAAAATAGATAAAGCAATACTTAGTTTCTACTATTACAGTAGTTTTTTAAATGTGCTACTTACTGTGCTTTTTCTAAGGTGGTGATCTAGGTCTGCCTTTCCTCTCAGTAGAGCATACCACCTCACAGAGATTTTTATCATAAACAATGATTTTAAAATCTCCGTGGAACCACGTCAAACACATGAGCCCTGAGAAAATAAAAACCTGTTGTAAATAGAAGCTGTAAAAATTTACTAAATACTGTATGTAGTGTTTATTCTTGATTCCTGTGAAACCATTTAGGTTCATTTCACTTAAAAAGATGAATAGCTTTAAATTTTATGCCGGTTTTCATACTCCATTTCTAAATTAATATGGTTATTAATTAATTTTTGAATTTAAGATCTTTTGAGAACTTCTTCTCAATTGCTGTGACATGCACTAATTTAAGCTTGGTTTTAATAAATTTAAGAAAATGTCATTAAGTATGGGAGTGGCATTACAAGGGAAGTGTATGTCCTGTGTTTCTTTTGGAGTGATAAATGAAAGCAGGCGAAGGCAAGCACATGCAAACTTTTCCACATAGGTGGCTGCTGCCACTTAGAAGCAGGCCGAGCAGGTAGCAGGAACAAGTTTCTTCAGCATCTTACTGCTTGGTGTTTGCTGGTCTGTCGAGCTCCCCGCCAAAGCCTGCCTACAGGCAGTCTCTCCTCCGGCAGTCTGACAAGAGCAGGAACTGGGCTGTTAATCTTTAGGCCTGCCAGAAGTGTGCAGTAGAGGTGGATGCATGGTAACCCGGGTCTGCTGCCCTGAAGGGAGAGGTGTCAGTGGGAGAGCCCTTCTCTGACAGTCATTTCCCATTTCTCCCCGTGACACAGCTTGGTGCTCTTGCAGCCTGTGCTGAGCGCTGACCTCTTCTTGCTCAAATTCTGTCCTGCAGTTCTGGGCAGTGCTTCTAGCTCCCTTCTAGCCCCCAGATGGCTGCATTCTGCCTTAATACAGGCCAATTTTGTTAATTTGGAACAGATTAAAGTGAGGCTCTAAGTGACTAAAGAGTATCATTCTAGAAGGAAATGCAGCTTTCAGAAACGGACTGAATTCTTTTCATGTGCTATTTTTCACCCTTAGCACAGACTTACTGCTTTCTGAATCCATTCTGAATCCATTTTCCAGGGTATTGGCTGCCTTTTTGCCACCTTTTTTTCCTTTTTTTTTTTTTTGTTGTTGTGTATTGCTGCAGAGGTCCTGCAGAAGCATTCTTGGGTAGTGCATATTTATCTGATATTTTTTCCCTTGTCTTCTCTTTCAGTGGTGGTGAAGGCTAAGGAGAATCACTCCTTTACGTTTGTGAAGTCATTAAAGCTGCTGCCCTTTCTGGGTGCAGTTAAAGTGAATATGAGCTCAGATGGAGCACAGGAAGGCACACCGTTTTCCCAGTCAGAGGCCCAGAAGGGACTGATTTGTTAGCATTGTGTGTCTTTAACAGGCTAAATGGCGAGTTACGCACTTGGTATGAATCTACAGTGAAGTTTAAACTGTTGTCCCTCTTCGCCTATTAAAATGGCTTAAAACTGTTTTCCTCTGATGTATCACTTTGGAATTATAAGGATTCATTTGTTTTTCATGGAAATCCAAAAAAGGAGCAGACTTTCAAAAGATCTTTTTACTTGTTTTTTCAGTTTGTCTTTAAGCTTTCAGTTTGTGCTTTCAGTCTGGATTTCGGTGCCTGAATGGTGTTTAATTGGCACGTACAACTTGAATGAACTCTGTGGTTCTTTAAGTAGCTGTTGTCTCAGATAGCTGGACCACAGAGTCTGCATTTGTGGACTCATCAGGCACTGTTCTGTTACATGCATTATTGTATTTCCAGTTAAATTGCACTTCTGAGAACAGTGGTGACATATGCCTCTGTATACAGTAATGTCTTGTGGCCTCTGCCAGAATAAGAGAAGGAACTTCGGTGTTGCACAAGATATAAACATCAGTTTAAAGATTGTCTCATTTTTACGTCTCTGAAATGTCCCGTTTTCCAGTTCATTGATTCAATTTTTGCTGTTGGGCAACACATTGCTGAGGCTCAATGTAGAGGTAGGACACCTATATATATAAAAAAAAAACCCTAAGTCCTTCTGTATATGCTTTAAAAATAGATTTTATTGGATATACGGCTGCTTCAAACTTGTATTTCATGAGAACTTTTCATAGGTAGTATTGTTCAGGAGCGTTTATGTAGTGAATAAGATAGTCTAGTTTCAAGTTAGTGTGGAAATCTCTCTTGGTTTGCACATGTCTAACCCTGCTGAGATTTGTGAAAGATCTACAGTGTGGTGATTTTGACTTGGGGAAGTGAATGTACAAAACAAGACAAGTTAGTCTTGTAGATCCAGGCAAGTGTTTTTTGGTTTGATGGATGCTTTTGAAGCAGAACTACATCATAGATTTTGTACAACTAGTGGATTAGTTCTATGAGCGATCTTCTTTAGTCTTAGGAGATGCAGCTAGGTACACTTGTTGCTGTTACTTTGAAAAAAAAAAAAATTAAAAAACCCCTCATTTCTTAGCAGCCTGAAACCAAGCAGCAGATATTTGCAGTAGAACAAGTATCTTTTAGTGGCATTTGGTTTTTAATTTCCTCCCACATATGTTTCCTTCCTGTCCGCTATGCAGGTTTGCTGAAGACAAAAGTCTCCAAAACTCAAATACATTAGTTAAGATAATTGCACATTGAAAAGATATTTGATTATATATATACACACACCCCACAGTGGTCACACCTGCTGAGGTCCTTGCCACCAATATGGCAGCAATAGTTAGTCTGGATTGTTTGTATATGAACAAATAAATATTCACATTTCTCTCTGAGTTATGTGTGTTGATTATAAACTGATGCAGATGTGAGCTTGCTGGGGTAAACTGTGCAGTTGCATTCCCACGTCTGTTCTCTATTAAATGCTCAGCTTCTAGGTCACCTGTGATCATGCTTGTGTTTGCTGTTATCACTACTTTACTCCTGCCTTTGCTTTCCAACATTCCAGTTCTTTATCCTCAAAATCCAGGCATGTTTAGTTTCTTTTGGTACTCTTAAAGAAATGTAAATCTGACCGGCCTGTTAAAGGATTTTACTAGACTGTGGGTATCTCTAGGCTTGCTATATTAACAACTCAGAGTTGGGCCATCACTTCAGTGAGTGGCAACAGCTCACAAAAAGTACCCTCTCTATATATGATATAACATACAATACAAAGAGTCTTTGGTGATTTTCCAGGAATTTGGTGCTCTCAATTCATCATCAATTTCAAAAGTCCATTGTATTCCACAGTTCTGGCTGGTTCTTATCATTCCGTTCTAATTTCTCTTTGGACACCACTGTTCACCAATGCAGTCTTCGATCATCATGGTTACTTATCTTCTGAACAATCTTTATCATAATTCACTTTTAGACTTCTGAGAAAAGACTCAAAATGTTCTATTTAACATATACTTAATCTATGTCTAGCTTTTCTAAGTTGCTTAAACTGTCAGTATTGTTCCTAGAGCACCTGTGCTCTATTGCAAACAGTATCTGTTTATTAATTATTCCTGCTAGTAATAATATCCTAAGAGAAAACAGTTTTCTAAAGCTTGTTCCTTTTACAGATTCCCTCCTTTTGTTTTTCCATTGCACTCCTGTGATCCTTATTTATAATTCTACATCTATCTTCTGCATTAAAAAAGAACAACAACCAATGTAACATTGAAACAAAACAATCACAGAGACTATTATGACATAATCGTTAAAAATAATAACAATTAATTTAAATAAAATTTCAGCTGGGGAAACTTCAATTGGCTATCTTGGGTTATTCTTTATATCCCGTAACACTAAATTTAAAGCATCGGGCCACTTTAGGCTAGTCTGTTTACAAACCTTAAGTAATTTTTCTTTTTAAGGTTCTGTTCATTCGTTCTACTTGGCTGGATGATTCGGGGTGATGGGGAGTATGAAATTGACTAAAAATTAAATTTGAATTAAAACATCAGCTGTGAAATGACCCCCATGATCAGAATCAATGGCTTCAGGAACTCTCTATTGAGGAATTACTTCTTTCAGTAAAATATTTCACTACTGCTTTTGAATCATTTTTCCTAGTAGGAAAAGCTTTTACTCATCCTGTTAGTCAATCTGTTAGCACTAGCATGTAAGAGTACTCCATTGGTTTTGGCATTTCAGCATAATCAATTTGGAGCTTTTGAAAAAGGAAAGGTGGCTGGAGGTCTTTTTCCACTGGGTGCCTTAATTTGTACAGAAGCATGCTGTTTACAAAGTTTACATCTTTCACAGATTATTTTGGTTGCTGCATAAATTCACGGGGCAGCCCAGAGTCTTTAAGCTCTCTGCCCCCCCATGAGTATTTTCGTGATGCCATCACATGATTAGTAATAAATACCTATTTGGAAGAAGAGGCTTGTTATTAAGCATCTGTTGTTCTCCATGTGGCTGGGCTTCAATCTGGATCCACTACTCCTTTTCTTTATCAGGGAGGTCTTCATATAACATTTATATCCAGAAGTTTGGATATCGCCTCATGTTGTGATAATGACATGATAGACACAACCTGTCATGCTGCGGCTCTAGCTGCTTGGACAGCTGAAGAATTTCCATTAGATATCATAACTTGCCTCTGAGTATGTGCTTTTATATAGATGACAGAAATCTCAGAGGGTAATTGTATCACCTCTACTAAGTCCTTGATCTACTTTCTATGAGCCATGGTCTTCCTTGCTGATGTTAAGAAACCCCGTTCTTTCCATAAAGTCCCAGTTGCATGGCAGATAACCAAAAACATATTTAAAGTCTATATTTTGCAGCTTCTGTAGGAGCAATTATTTCTGCTCCCTGTGCACCTAAAAGTGCAGGAAAAGGTCCCACCAATAGTACCTGCATTTCCGTAGTTACTGCAAAACCAGTACATCTTCGACTTTCTTCGTAATAGGAGGAGCCATCTGTGAAGAGGTTCAAATCAGGGTTATCTAAAGGTTGATCCTTCAAATCATCTCACAGTGTGCTGGCTTCACTTAATAATTAAACACAGTTATGGTTATATTTTTCTCCATTGGATGGTAAAGGCATTAGGGCAGCACGGTTCAAAGTATTGCACCTTTCCAATTTCAAAGTATTAGCCAATAGTAGAATTACCTCATATCTATGTACTCTTTGAGGAGATAAAGTTTTCTCCCATCTTGTTTTAAAAATATTTCTACTTCATGGGCTACACAGACAGTTAGTGTTTGTCCTAGGACAATTGTCTGTTTTGTTTTTTTTTTCCTGCCATTCCAGCTGCTGTTGTTACTACTCTAATACAAAAAGGAGTTTCTTTAGTCACTGGGTCTAATATAGACGAAAAATAGGTAACAGGTCATAAAGTTTGTACTAACACCCCTCTCCAGTTCCTTTATTTTCATCACAATACAATTTAAAAGGTTTTGAGTAATCAGGAAGTCATGGCTTTACTATGAATCCAAGATATTTCACTTCCTGTTTGCAAAATTGTAATTTGGACAGAGATGCAGTGTTCCTTTTTAACAAGTTGGATACATAGATATTCAGTATCTCTAGTACAATCATCCTTACTTTTACTTGCTAATAACAAGTCATCAACATATTGTATCAAAACAGACTTATCTGAAAAAAACAGGTCTTGTAAATAATTTTTTTAAAATTAGAGAAAATATTGTTGGAGATCTAGTAAATCCTTGCGGTAACCTAGTCCCAAGTTAACTGCTTACTTTGCCTTGTGAAGGTGAAGATTGATTTGCTTTCTTCTGCAACTGGAATGCTAAAGAAAGCTCCTGTAAGATCAGGCATCGTGAAATACTGTGCCCAGACTGGAATCTGTTAAAATCCGACTAGGATGTGGTACCACAGGATGTGAAGCAATTACATGTTCATTTACAGCTTGTAAATCCTGAACAAATCTGTATTCAGGATCTCCATGTTTATCTACCCTATGTTCACTGACTGGTAAAATATGAGTATTATAAGGAGTAGGACACCCCTTCAAAATTTCTTTTTCTAAAAAATGTACAATTTGTTTTTCTATACTGGGAATGGCCTCATTTATAATTGGATACTGCCAAATTGAAGGAGTCCCTCCTTTTGTTTTTATCACAATTGGCTCAGCTGATTTTAACAATCCCACTTCATGTCCCAGTGTACTTCAAAGTTCTCTAGGAATTGCAGCCAATTAAAATCGTATATCATTCAAATCATTTTCATTTTGACATCCCAATTCACTTATTTCTGAGCCCATTAAAATCAATTGAATCTCTGTTGGAGCCAAGGAGATAAATATACCAAATTCCTGCAAAAGGTCTTGTCAAAGGGGTAGTTAAATATTTTATCTCTTCCTCTACTACTCCCCATACTATCATTCGAAATGTGGGGAACTTCAAAATTCAGTACAGGCCCAAAAGGCAAGTAGGGGAACTGGGAGAGATCACAAATTTACCCCAAACAAATTTCTTATCCAAAATTGTACCGTTTACCTTCGCAGAAATCTGACCATGCTCATCTACCTTGATTCAGATGGGTCCCATTGTTCTTTCAATTCCCAGAGAAAAGGAGTATCATTTTCTTTACTGTGAGTGAGGTCGAGGAGGTCTGGCGGGTGGAGATCCTCCTTGTGCAGACATGGGTCTAAGCAGACACTCTCTCTGCATGTGTCCCAAATTTCCACAGTAGAAGCACTCTAAAGAATTGTTGAGAGATAAGAGGAATTCTGCCTCATGCATCCCTTCCGCTGATTCTACCTCGGGGAAATCCCCGACCTCTCCATCTTGGGTTATAGGTTTGGGTAACTGCTACAGCCAACAACCCAATTTCTCTTTCTTTATCTTTTTGCTCTAGCTTTTTCTCAAGTTTTAACCTTTCTTCTTGCTGCTTTTGCTTTCATCTCTCCCATCAAAAACAAAAGCAGCAATGCTCAAGATTTTAGTTAATGTTTTACCTTGTCAGCCTGGCATGAGTTTCTACAAAAACCCTAATAGCTAGTGGCTCTTGGAAATTGTCACTGGTCATACCCCCATAATTAAAGTAGCCTTCAGTTGGC